TTCCTCAGCAAAAAAGAGGAGGATTGGCATTGGATGTTAGCTCAGGGCTGGTCCTCCTCCCAAAAAAATAAATAAATAAATAAAATAAAATAAAAAATAAAATTTTCAAATGTACAGAAAAATTGAAAGTGTGTGCAATGAACATAGATATACCTTTTGCCTATATTCACGAGTTGTTATACTTTTGCTATATCCTTTTTCTCTGTTTATATATACATTTTTAAATTATTGAACCTTCTGAATGTAAGTTGCAACCATCAAGATGGTTCCTTCTCATACTTCAGTATACATCTCCTAAGAACAACGACATTTTACTTTTTACTTATAAGTACTTTTTACTTTACTTTACTTATAAACACAATTTAATACTGATACATTATACAATCCATACTAAAATTCTCACATTTGCCCCCAAAAAGGTTCTTTTACTTGTTTATCTTTTAATTTTAAGATCCCAGATTGAGTCTGGGATTACATATTGCATTTGTTTGTCATATTTCTTTAGTCTTAAATCTAGAACTTTTTTTTTTTGGTTTTTCATGACATTTACATTTTTGAAGAATGCATTCCAGTTATCTTGTAGATTGCACCGAGTCTAAGTTAGATTCATCGTTTTCTCATGATTAGATTGAGATGAAATATTTTTGGCAAGAATATTTTATAGGCAATGTTGTGTGCTTACCATTGCATCATATCAGGAAGTACATAAAGTCAGTTTGTCCCATATTTTTGTTGTTGTTTTGATTAATAAGAAATGTGTGGGGTGAATCTCTACAATTATGAATTCTTGTTTTTCCAAGAATGTCCACCCAATGATTTTAGCATTCATTGATGATTCTTGTGTGAATGTTTCAATACACTGGTGATTGTGAAATTATATTTTTAACTTATTATCTTTTCTCACCCATAGGAAGGATTCCTTGTCTTGGACCTAAGGCTACTTTTTTGAACAAGAAAGCCACTAAGCTTGACTTCACATCGAGAGGAAAGAGCAGCAGCCCAGCTCACGTGTTCTCATATGCAATAGACTGCAGCCTGTGACGTGTTTTTGGCAATAGACTCTGGAGCTAAGGGGCAGAGGGATAAACAAGTTAGTAGAGGCTGCCATCAATATACCAAGCCAGTGAAAGAAAGCTGTTCAGTTTGCGAGGTCTGGGGGAGGATATCCACTGCTTATTGAGTCTTGAGCACTAGAGAGCCAGGACACATTATCTAAAGGACCCATTATCTTACCCATCACCTTTGTTCACGGCTCAATGGAGTTTGTGACAGCCCTGGCAGACCTCCAAGCAGGCGCTAGCTGTCCCATCTGTCTGGACTACTTGAAAGACCCAGTGACCATCAGCTGTGGGCATAACTTCTGTCTCTCCTGCATCAATATGTTCTGGAAGGATCTAAATGATACTTTCCCTTGCCCTTTTTGCCGATTTTGCTGTCCAGAAAGGAAATTCACAAGCAATCTCCAACTGGGCAATTTGACTGAAATTGCTAAGTTACTCCAGATAAGAAGAAGCAAGAGGAAGAGGCAGGAAGAGAAGCTTGTATGTGAAAAGCACAATCAGGTTTTGACCTTTTTCTGTCAGAAAGATCTAGAGGTTTTATGTCCACGATGCAGTTTCTCCACTGATCACCGGAATCACTATGTTTGGCCCATAGAGAAGGCTGCCCCCTATCATAGGAAAAGATTGGAGTGTTGCATTGAGCCCTGGAAGGAGAGAGTGGAGCAGGTTGAAAAAGTGATAACTATGCAAACCAGAAAATCATTGGAACTAAAGAAGAAGGTAGAATATAGGAGAGAAGAAATAAAGTCTGAATTTGAGCAACTTACGTTGTTTCTTCAAAATGAGCGAGAGACTGTTCTTCAGCAATTACAAGATGAAGAAGTGGATATTTTAAAAAAACTAAATGAAAACCTAACAAAATTTTCAGATCATGTTTCTACATTAAAATGTCTATTAAAGGAGATAGAGAGCAAATATGTGAAATCAGAACTGGAATTACTGACAGATGTTAAACGTATGTACCATAGATATAAAACCTTAAAGTCCCCTGAACCTTTTTCATTCCAATTAAAGGAGTATGGTTATTGTCTTCCTCCACAATATTCTGGCCTAAACAAAATTATCAAGCAATTTCAAGTGGATGTAATTCTTGATCCTGAAACAGCACATCGTAAACTTATTGTCTCAGAAGATAGAAAAACTGTGCAATATGGAAATACAATGCAAAACTTACCTCATAACCCAAGGAGATTTTATCTCTGCCCAGCTGTTCTGGGTTCTGAGGGATTTAATTCTGGCAGGCAGTATTGGGAGGTAGAAGTGAAAGACAAGCCTGAATGGATCATGGGTGTCTGTAAAGACTCTCTTCCCAGGAGGAGGAGGAGGAGGAGTCTGAATCAACTGATGTTAGTACAGGATGGATTATGGGGTATTGGGCGATATAGTCAGAGTAATTATGTTGCATTGGGTCCTAAAAAAATTAATCTTCTGCCAAAAGTAATACCTAGCAAGATCGGCATTTTTTTAGACTGTGAGTTGGGTGAAGTTTCCTTTTACAATTTGAATGATAGATCTCTTCTCTATATTTTTAATGATTATTTTACAGGAGCACTTTGGCCTTATTTCTATACTGGAACTGATTCAAAACCTCTTAAAATCTGTACAATAACAGATTCTGAATGCTGAGCTATTGTAAGACTCTTAATTGTTTCTTTTTCTTTTCAGTTAGTGGACAAAACTAAGCCAGTGAATCTAGTTTCAACAATGTCTGTTTTTAGTTTTCCCTTTAAACAATCAGAATGGTTTTTATCTCAGTTTCAGCAGCTCCTGAAGAATGTGGTTATAATGCCTACTTTACAGATAAATTATGGGATCCAATTGGAAAGTGCTTTAGAGATTCCAAGATTTTAAAAATATGCTTAAAAAAGAATAAGCCTTTATTAAAGGCGTTCATGGACCACTCCAGGACCACCTGCTCTGTAAAGGTAGCCACTTTCAGCTTCATCTGTTTACCTCAATGTTTCTCAGTAACGTGTTTTGTTGTTTTTACTCTGTGTGTGTCTTTGTCAGTCTTGACTTAGTACTCTGGAAAATGAGGTAGTGTCCCCACCATATGCAGACACCATATACTTATGTATATACACACAGTCAATAGATAATCTTCCCTCTGTTCCCAGTTGGACAACATACCCTCCAGCTCTGTTGAGCTGCCATCCTTCACCTCATGTTGGGAACTGACCTGTCTTCTGGGAATCCTGGTTGATTTAGTTGTGTGTTTTTCTCCTTAGGCTTACTCTGTTCGGGGAATCACATCTTTCAGTAGATCACAGATATGTAAAATTTAGAAGAACTTACATCAACAAAAAAGACTGCTGAATCTTTAGATCAGTTTGGGGAGAATTGACATCTTGCCGATATTGAGGCATCTAATCCATGAGCTCATTTATTTGGGTCTTTGACTTCCCTCCAATATTTTGTAGTTTTCAATAGACATGTCTTTAACATCTTCTGTCAGATTTATCCCTAAGTAGAGTCCATTGGATTTTCTGCAGAAATGATCGTGTCATCTGCAAATAAAGACATTTTTACTTCTTTTACAATCTAGGTCCTTTTTCTTGTCTGATTGCCTTGACTAGGACCTCCAGCACAATATTGGTTCTTAACGTATTTTATGACTGGTTTTACCCCTCATTTTACTGCTCACATTTCCTCACTTAATTTCTCTACTTTTTTCTCTTATTACCTTTATTACCTAACTTTGATAGCTCTCAGTCTTCACATAAAATAATTTTTGTTTAATACTGTCAATTTAATATTATCTAACCATTTCCCCACTGATGGATGTTTATTTAGGTTATATCTAACTTTTGCAAATAATGTACAGTGAATGCATATTTATACTTTTAATAAAATATTTAAAGTGTAGAGCACAATGAAAAAGAAAACACCCATGTATCCATGACCCAAATTAATAGAACATTAACTTCACCTTTGTAGTTCCCTTTGTGCTCTTCAACCCCAGCCTCTTCACTTCCTGGTCCTAGCTAGTTCCCACCACTAATCTTAGTTTGATATTCCATTGTTTTCCTAACCTTTTGCCATGTATATTTGTATCCCTAAACAATATGTTGTTCAGTTCCACATGTTGTTTAATTTTACATAAAGTTGATACTGAATTATTCTGTGTCTTGTATTTTTTTCCTTCAACATTATGTTCATGAGATTCATCATGCTTTTGCTTAAGGCTGTCCTTTGTTTTTATTCTACTTCTGATGGGTACTCAATCTGAGACTTTCACAAACAGCTGCTATGAAAGTTATACATCTGGTTTCTTTAGAGAGGGAGTTGCTGGACCTTCACCTTTATTGGATAATGTCAAATTATTTTCCAAAGTCTGTGCCAATTTACACTCCCACCCACGGTGTACAAATTTCTTATTGCTCTGCATCAACAGTACTTGATTTTTTAAATTTTTTACTAATTTGCAAGATGTTAAATGTTATCTCTGGTTTTAATTGTATCCGTGATTTCTAATAGAATATATTTTCATAGGTTTAATAAGCATTTCTGTTATTTCTGTTTCTCTTCTGTAAAATACCTGTTCTTATTTTTTTTCCTTGTTTTTATTTTAGTCTGTTTGTCTCATGGGTTTATAAGAGCTCTTTATATTTTCTGGATTCTAGTCCTATAGCAGTTATGTTCACTACAGATAGCTTCTCCAAGTTTATCTCACTATCTTACTGTGGTGTCTTGAGCAGAAGTTCTTAAATTTGGTATAGTTGATTTTATCAGTCATTTGAGGTTTGGATTCTTGTTTAAGAAATCCTCCCCTACACCAAAGCCATTAAAATATTCTATATGTGTTTCTAAACGTTTTTATCATTTACTTGGAGTTGATTCTGTGTTTGGGAATAGGATGGGGCCTGCCTATGTATTTAATTATATACAATGTATAAATAACTGATGGTTACAACACTACGTATTGAGAAGTCCATCATTTCTCCAACTGATTTGCAATGCCACCTGGATCTGATATCTAATCTGTTCTACTAGTCTATTGGTCTATCCTCAGGCCAAAACTGCACTCAAATATTATAGCTCTCATTCTTGATACCTGGTGACAATTTTCATCATCTCTTCTTCAGATGAGATGACAACTCTTGGCCTATTCCATGTAACTTTTATAATTTTACTTATTTATTTTTTCCCCCAAAGCCCCAGTAGATAGTTGTATGTCATAGCTACACATCCTTCTAGTTGCTGTATGTGGGACACGGCCTCAGCATGGCTAGAGAAGCAGTGTGTTGGTGCGCACCCAGGATCCGAACCCAGGCCGCCAACAGCAGAGCGCGCACACTTAACTGCTAAGCCACGGGGCCGGCCCCCATGTAACTTTTAGAATCAGCTTGCCAAACTAAACATCATAACCATAGAGATTTTATTTGAAATTGCATTGAAGTTATAAATCAAATTGGAGAAAATTGACACCTTTATTGAGTTGCCCAATCTACGAACATAGTATGCCTTTACATCTATTTAAGTCTCCTTTAATAACATACGACACCCACCAGTGGTCTACCTTAGGTACAGCTAAACATTCTAACTCACATGACTTTCATCGGGCACACTTGACATCAAGATTACTCAGAAGGATATTGGACAGTAAGCTGTCTGCCAGCAATAGCTTCAGGCATTTCCATGGGAATTTTTTTTTTTTTTAAAGATTTTATTTATTTATTTTTCCCCCCAGTAGATAGTTGTATGTCATAGTTGCACATCCTTCTAGTTGCTGTATGTGGGACTCGGCCTCAGCATGGCCGTAGAAGTGGTGCCTCGGTGAGCGCCCAGGATCCGAACCCGGGCCACCAGCAGCGGAGCGCGCGCACTTCACCACCAAGCCACGGGGCCGGCCCCTCCATGGGAATTCTTACGTCCACATAGCTGTCCAGGAGCACTTCTATTGGGTTCCCTATGAGATGGCTCAGGTAGGTAAATGAGACATTGAGCAGGTGAAGGACCTGCGCTGACTTAAAACTTCATGTCCCAGGAGGCCACTAGATCTTGTAACTTCCCTGACAAGTAAGTGGGCTCCCTGGACTAGAAGGGACCTTCTGAAATTATACAGAAGAGTTGATAAGTGGCCTCTGGGGAAAGCACATATACTAGATACAGCAAAAACAGTTTTCTATCTGTTTGAACTTCATAGGTTTTAGAACCAGTTTCCTCACCTTTAAAATGGAAAAATAATCTACCTCAGAGGGTTGCTTAAAGACTAGATGCTCCCAATTGCCACCCTCAATATACCAAGAAGTATTATTCAGGCCTGGTCTCCCCTTGGTCATTTCATTTAAACTCAATTCAGTTAAGCATTTTGTGCTTTAAGAGTAGCTTGTCTGATTTCCTCTAGGGAGGGGAATTTGACTCAGTTTTTTAAAATCTAGTTTTAATGTTTCAATTATTATTCATTGTTTACAAGATTTATTATAATTACCAACCACTGATTTACAACCACTATTGTCATCTCAGAGGCAACCACTTTCAAGTCTTGCTTTTCTTTGGTTATTTACTTTTTGTGTGTGTGTGTGAGGAAGATGAGCCCTGAGCTAACATCCATGCCAATCCTCCTCTTTTTGCTGAGGAAGACTTGCCCTGAGCTAACATCGGTGCCCATCTTCCTCCACTTTATATGGGACAACGCCACAGCATGGCCTGACAAGCAGTGCATCAGTGCACTCCCAGGATCCGAATCCCTGGCCTCTAGCAGTGGAACACCTGTGCTTAACCGCTACGCCATGGGGCCGGCCCCAGGTATTTACTTTTTATGGTCACTAAATAACAAGCTAATAGAGATACTTTTGGATTTTTCAGTTTGAGGTATTATCATTTGATGTCCTACTTTGGAAGATGAGAATTTAGAGCAGTTTTCACTCTGTGGCCCTCTCCTAATAGAATTCTTCATTTTTGTATAGAACATTTTCTTTTTAATTTTTTTTAACTTTATTTATTTTTTCCCCCAAAGCCCCAGTAGATAGTTGTATGTCATAGCTGCACATCCTTCTAGTTGCTGCATGTGGGACGCGGCCTCAGCATGGCCGGAGAAGCAGTGCGTCAGTACGCGCCCGGGATCCGAACCTGGGCCGCCAGCAGTGGAGCGCGCACACTTAACTGCTAAGCCACAGAGCCGGCCCCAAACATTTTCTGATGTTTACAGTATTTTGGCTATGTCAATGCCATTCACTTCTGAGCCATGTATAATGAAATGATTGCTTTTTCTCCCCCCAACTTTGTTTTCCTGTAGTTAATAATTGTCTTATATTTCTCATTTGCTTTGTTTTCTGTGTCCTTATCCTTAATTCATCCCCAAACTGTCCCTGCAGTTGTCTAAATCTCTCAATTTAAACACATTTAGCTTTCTACCTCTTGGATTTTACAGACTACTCTCAAGGAAACTTCTGACCTACTCTAATGCGGGCGGGTTGTTTACTAAGCCAGCTGCTCAGATATCATCTTGGGAATGCCCTTGGCATCTCTTAAGTCATTTTTTCTCTTTCCATGTTTTTCCATTTGGAGGTTGGTCTCTTGTTTTGTTGGAGAATGTCCTTCAGTAGCTTCCTAATAATGGTACATGGGAAGTAAATATTTTGAGACCTTCCTGAGACCTTTAGTCTATCCTGATACTTAACTAA